AGTAGGCTGTGCATATAAAGGTGGTTAGTCACAGGTGCCTGCAATCCTAATGAAGGATTGAAACACTGTCACTGAAATTTAGTGTGTGGCCGCCACCTTGTGGTCAGAATGGGAACAGATGTAAGTTTAAAAAAAAGGAAAAAAAAATAAAAACAAAAGGAAAAAATTAAAAATTAAAACAACCAAAGCCTAGAAACAATGAAATGCATTTTAAGTTCTTTATTCTTGAATATAGCGAAGTATAGATGTCATGCAAAAATTACCATTTACAGACTCAAAAATCCCAAAGACAAAATTGGATTTCTTGGTTAACATTTGATATTCTTTTCCTGAAATGTTATGAGATTTTCCCCAATAATGAAACTACACAAGTGTTTTTATACATATACTTTTAATTCTGTGTATATATGTCTATATAAAAAAATCTGAGAAGTGCTAAGTACAGTGTAATTGGAGTAATTTCTAGAAATCACTATTGCATTTTGACTTTCGTATTTTCAATAACATTTCCATAAGAGTTTTTCAAAAGTATGTTCTTATTTGTCACCCAAGTGTATGTCTTGTAATATCCTAGACTATTCTATATCTCCTTAAGAATTAAGGATTTTTTTTTGTTATGATTTTGAAACACAAGGGTGATACTTCCTGAAGTTTATTTATTTATTTATTTATTTATTTATTTTTTTTGTGAGCAAGTGAAATTAGAACTACTTGGATTAAATGTTAAACAAAGCTGAACAGGCTTTTTTGCTGTGCAACTTCTCTGACCACTTCAGTTTGCAGCTGACTCTAAGCAAGTCCCAAACCCTGTTTCTTGGTCTCACTTTCTCACAATATACTTATTCCCCTCTGGAGTTAAACCTTGTACTAAATTTTGTGTTTCCAAAGAACTTGTTATGAAATGTGTGGATAACTATTCAATGGACACTTTGAATTGAAAAATTGCAGTTAAAATACCTATAAAAATAAAGTCTGGATGTATGCAATTTCTAAAAATTGTGTTACTACAATTGTAAGAAAATATTGTCACTTTAATTCATGCCTCAATTGTACAGGATCACTCAACACTTTGAGAAAACATTCCTTTTATATTGGAACCAGCAAACCAAGATGCATTCTCTTCTAAATACTGTTTATCATGTCTTTTCAAGTGAGACATGAATATCTACCTGACAATTTGATGTTAAAGAATACATATTATTTTGATGGTGAAACTGTTAAAAATTTGATTGTGAAACTGTTAAAAATGGAATATCAAAAGTAAATATCTTAAACAGTTAAGTCTTTCTCCCATTACATAGTACAACCCCATGCTGAAACTTACAATTATCAAGATATTTAGTAGGCATAAATTCTGTGTCCTTCTCCCCTTTTAGAATCAAACCATAGTATTTTATGCTGGGCAAGGTTGTGGCAGAGACATATACCCTCCAGGATATAAATGTACCTAAGCCCCACGGAATCTCTAGTTTCAGGGACACCCCAATCATATCTTTGAATTCTTCATCCTCATGCTGTGCTAACAAGGGTCTGTGAATGACAGTCCCTACTTCACAAGTTAAGAAATTCGGTGTCCAGTAAGTCACTTAAATTTTGTATCATTCATCTCCTCCGCATTGAAAAGTTTTATTTTATATTTGGTAAGTTTCATAGTAGAATAGTTCAAAAATAGCTAAACTCTATTTATCATATACACTGGGACAGTATCTGTTTTATGGTGTTTATGAGTTTATCACATTTAATTCTCATGATGACTCTATGTGGTAAAGATTGTCACCATCAGACAGATGTAAACTGGAACAAAAACATTTGAATATGTTTGCTCAGAGTCACACAACCAAGAAGTGCTGGGCCCATGCTTCAAAATGAGATGTTTTGACTCACAGCCTCTGTGCAACATTCTCCTCACACAGTTACCAACATGCCTCTGTGTGCATCTGTATAGCCACACTACGTTCTGGACATAATGCAATTTCTTGGGTAAGCATTACCTTCCCTTATTTGGCAGATGTGGTAACTGGGTAACTAAATGCTTAGCCAGGTCCAGAGCAAGGAGTTTGAAAATGCCCACAGCCACTGGTCAGTCTCAGAAGCCTGCTTTTGCTCAAGGAAGAAGCAAATACATAAGCATTCTTCCTGTTTGCAGCCAGAGTCACAAGGCTGAGCTTTATTTACAATTCCAGTTGATGGCACAGCGCAAACAGCACACTTGACACTGTGCACATGGGCTGATTCATGAGGGAGACTCCTTTGGCAATGTTATGGGGTTCACTTTCTATTAAGTGGTTATTTAAATCAACAGCAATGGTATTTTATTACGTATGCCATTCTCTTGACCAACTAGATTATTTCACTGCATTTTAACAAATCAGTTTATTTTTCTCTGCCCATGAAGTGGGGTTGTAGTAGGAGGGTCCCCACAGCTTATGCTCAGGAGGCCTTAAGACCAATACTCCTGTGAGCTTGAGTTGGTTACCAGAAAGTACCCTTTGAGTTCTTAAGCAGAAGAGAAATGAGAATCTTGAAGGACCCACTGCCTATCTATATTTATCAGAGAAGTATCCAGATAATCCTCACTACATTCAGAAACCAATATAAAATTATATTTTTGCTCTTTATAAGATAAAAATTAATTTTTATTCAAAGTTATAGATGTTACAGATCTGGCTTTTAGCCATGCAGTGTTTAATTGCATTTTGGGGGTGTGTTTGTGTGTGACGGAGCATGCACGTATTTTGTTTGTCATTTGCCCAGTAAGTCTATAAATTATCGAAACTAAAGGAGAAAAGATATGAAGCATTGCCTAAAATAATGCAAAAAAAGAGTGATGATGATTTCCAATTAAACTGGCACGTTTGCAAAATTATTTAATGCCCAGAAGCATCAGGAATGTGATTTGTTGGTATTCCTAGATTATCTATCGAATGTCAGTAAAACCACTAAAATTTGGTTACTGGTTCCAGCACATCAATTGACAGTTTCACAATTAATAAGAAACAGAAACAAGTAAGACCAATGTGGACTACTTGAAATTCAAATTTCAGTGCTCTTATCACCATACCACTGAACTTCACTTAATTCCAGAATATAGTAATGCTTTTATTTACACATTTAGAAGTATTAAGTTAACTCATTCTATTAGATAATTTTTATAATAATTTTCAATTCTTTATGGAAGATCAATAAATATTCATGTCTCTCTACAGGTATTCTTTACTTGTTGGATGACTAGCCTTCTGAAATCACTGCAGTGAATTAAGTCATGCTTTTTACAAAACCATTTTGCAGTTATTCAAACCAATTTGCAGAAAACTCCCTTATACTTTGTGTATAGATTTGGACATCATTTATTATCTGCTCAAGAGACCATATAAGTTCTACAAAAACGATTATGGTTGGCTACAGAAATTCAAATTTAGCTCCATAATAAAAAGCAGATTTTTGCAGTAATGTATTAGATGATTAAATTTCACATTATAGCAGTTTTTAATAGTGCTTAACAAGTCACTAACTCAATAAAATGTCAGGTATGAGACTGTTCTTTTCAAAATGACTGTATTCTCCACTTTCTCATATATATATGAAACAGACTAGGAAGTCTTTGCACCCTCTACCTGGAACTTAAAAGTCAATGGTGGGGGTGGGGGGTGGAGGTACTGTGCCTAAATCCAAGATAGCTATGTATTGCTTTTGACTTCTTGGGGTTTGAGAACTTTACTTTAAGAATTTCTCTAGAAAAGGTGTTAAAATATTTCAAATTGCCTTATGCAAAATATTTTCCTGACCATTTTGAATCATATCTCAAATAGACTAACAAAGCTAATATTGTAAAACACAGGCACTAGTTTTGAAAATGAAAAAAAAAATGTCATTATGTATGACTGTAGTTTTAAGAAATCTTGATCCTTAAAAAGTCTTCACTGGGCTGGAGGGTTAGTTCAGTGTAGGGTACTTGCCTGAGGATTGATCCCATCACAGCAAAATAGATCAATAGGCTTTTATTGCTCATCCAACTAATCATCACAAATTACCCATTTTGTGTAGGCCATACATTTTCCAGGATGTCCATATGTATAATAATTACAGAACTATTTAAAACAATAAAAATTACAACTCATGAGGTATGCAGTGATTACAGAGGTAAAAACAAGTTTGTTTTAAAGAACTCTGGACCTACTCTAATCTACAGTGTAGTGTTACTATAGAGATTGTTCTAAACTTGCCATTCTTCTAACCATAAAAAGGAACATTTTCTTAACATTAAAATCATATCTAACATTTTACCTTGCTGTATTGACTGTCCCATGTAATTATGGACCTAGTTTTCATGTTTTCTTGGAGTTTCAGTTATACTTCACAGTGCCTAAATATGCATAATAATTTGGAGATCATGGTCATTGTAGTCTGTCACTAGAATGTATAAAATACTTGCATAATGGGCTAGTTTTATTTTTTTGTGTGTGTATATAAAATTTGAGTTAATATATTGTTTCTGATGTTCAGGATTAATTTCCCCTTGATTCTGAGTATCCATGACTTACTTGTATTTTTTTTTTCATATGCCTAAGTGACTTCACAGGGATTGATTTGTGAATATTTTCTCATTATTATCTGATGCATATTTTTCAAAATATTTTAGTGTTGCAATTATGTAGTTTTGTACAGCAAAACTAACTTTATGCATGTGGAATTTCTTTGTAAAGAATAATTCACGCCAGTAGTCAGTATACAGGTTTTGCTCCATTACTGTATGATTTAAAAACAAGCTAGAACCCTCTGTGGATGGTAGGATTCATGGCAGAGGTCTCATGCCATCTTATTAGCTGAGCCTCCCAGAAAAATATGCAAGAGACAATGAATGCTAAAGCCACACTTCTGAATATCACATGACTGACTTTTTGCCTTGATCTATTGGCAAATTATCAATCTAATCTTTTTGCAGTGTGAGTGATTTATGACTGAGCTAAGATACAGCTCTCTTTCTTGTTCTTTGTTTTTAGCTCCTTGTGAAGGCAACACGTTCTTCTGCCATAGTAACATGTGTATTAACAATACATTGGTCTGCAACGGACTCCAGAACTGTGTGTATCCTTGGGACGAAAATCACTGTAAAGGTAATGATCAGTTCTTGAAATATGCAAGGTCCCCTTCCTAAGGAATGGGAAGGAAGTTTGTATGCACTTGACTTAAAAATTGAGCATATAGTGGCTTCTATGAGCTTCATCTGTTTTATATAACCAATCTGTAAGCAATTTTCTTTATCTTGATTTGCACTGTATCCAGAGGTTTCCTAATTTTTGCATGTACACTGGAGGATAATTGATACTGGAATGGCCATTAAAGACATCTTGTTAGAGTCTGCAGAACCATGGAAATGATATGGATGCCTACAGCACAGCACATTTCTTCCCTAGTGTAACGGGTACCCCTTAAATCCATGGTGACACCTCTCATTTACTCCAGTTTGTCTTTGTTGCATTTTGAGCTCATCTTCTAGTGATAAAATATGTTGCAGGGGCATTGATACTTCCAATTGCTTTCAGCCACCTAATTCCACTTCTATTTTGCTACCAATATGTTTTTCTTTCTTTCCAATAAAAATAGTAACTAGTGTCCCTGAGCCCTTCTCTAGCCTATACACACAGATTTTTTTTTTTTTTTCATTTAAACAGAGTTACTTGGCTGGTTTGTGTGGCATTGATTAATTAAGTTCAAAGTGCCATATAAACTCTTTCACTCAAGGTCAATATTAAACAATTATCAAAGAAAAATAAACAGGCAAATAATTCTATTATGTTTATAAAAGTCCAATGTTATCTATCAAAAGGCTTTCTTCAAGCAGAAGTGTTGAGTAGCCATTGCTTGATTGAGTCATTTAGAATGGCAGGTCCATTAGAAAGAATGGTCTGGTATCAAGAGCTTCCATGGGGGGTGTTGGTGACAATTGTGGAAGAACCACTTGGGAGCAAATGAGAAGTTAAATATTGTTGGACCTGTCCTAATGCAGCATTGGAGACGAGTAGTAGTCACCATCAGCCTTCTGCCCAAGGTGGACTTGTGGCCATACCTGTAAAGAACATTGGAGCCAAGAGCATCGAGAGAATGTGTACCTGTGAGCATGGGGGAAAACCAAACCCCTTTCTCCAGATGAGGAAAACTTACCTTAAGTTTGCAGTTCATTCTCTTGTGATAGGAGAATGCACTTCTTTCTTATCATTTCAATCATTTCTAATTGATCAGGTCTGCTGTTGGGGCTTAGCCTACAATGTAGCCTAAAAGAATGTCCCACATGCCCTTGAAAGGAATGTGTCTTGTTGATATTGGGTGAATCTGAGATACTGCTATGTCTAATAGGCCTATTTCAGAGGTGTTTAAGATTTTTGTTTTCCTTTTGATTTTCTCGCCTCTGGTCCATTATTAAGAGAGAGTATTCAGTTCTTTTAGTTTCATTCTTGAATCCTCTGATTCTCGCTTCAACTCTGTAAAGCTTTTGATTCGTGCATTTTTTAGCTTGGTGGAAAGATCTGTAAAAATTTACAACTATTTTGTATCCTTGATGGATTTACCCTTTTATCAACATAAAATGATGATGTAATGTTAAGAAACTTTTTTTTTGTCTTAAAAATATACTTTGACATTGGTGTAACCACCCCAGCTTTCTTTGGACTGTAATTCTACCCTTTTAATTTCAGACTGTGTCTTTGCCTATAAAGCATTTAATCTGAAGGCAATGAATTGCTGGATTTTATTTCTTTTAATCCAGTCTAACAATCTCTGCTTTTTTCTTTAGTCATTTAATCTATTCCCATTTCATCATTGTTAATATAGTTTATGTATATTCACCATTATAGTTTTTGTTCTCTATATGTCTCATTTTTTTATCTTTAATTTCTTTATTTTTCTCTTCTTTATAAGTTAACATACTCTACAGTAACATTTTAATTGTAAGTAGTTTTTTCAAGGTATTCTTTATTTATTTTCTTAGTGGTTGCTTCAGGGTTTTTAGTATATAGCTTGATTTCTCAGGATATATTTAAGATATATAACAAAAATTCTAGTGAGATATATAAAAACTACTCCTGTACAGTTCTATTCTCTCTTCCATTTTTCACATTTTCTCCATATTACATCTATATATATTAAATTCATTGCAGTAGTCATTAATTTATGTTATTTTTATATCTCATATTGGGAGAAGAAAGGACAGCAGATATAGATTAATGTAATTTGTTAGACAACTCCTTTAATCAAATGTTTCTGAACTCCTCATTTGTTTTCATAAATTTATATTGTCCTCTGGTATAATTTCCTTTCTCCCATAACAGTTTAGTTCCTACCAACCTTTTTTATCATTATTACCAAATACATTACATATCCATAAGTTATAAGCTCAGCAATACCATTATATACCCTATAACCTTGCCTTTTTACAATTTTAAGTAAGGAATGTGGGTGAAATATGCAACTGAACTTCCATAATTATTTACATAGTTTCCTTCATTGGATGTATTCATTTTCCTATTTAAGTTGCTGTGTTTAATTCTTTCCTTTGGATTTGTTATTGTCTCAGGTCACATATTTTCAACTCAAAGAACCTCTCTCCATATATTTTTAAGGCAGCTCCTCAGTGTTGACTTCCTTTTTCATTTTTGGTTACCTGGTATTCTTCATTTCATTTTGACAGTACTTGCCTTGGCAATTGGTCTTGGTCTGTGGTGTGTAGCTGTGGCGACCCTCTGTTGGTCTGCAGGACTTTATATATGTCCCCACATGGCCTGCTGGCTTCCACTGGTGAATCGGATCGTGGCCTCTCGGGGCTCTTCTCCTGGGCTGCTTTGCGATCCCTTGTTCATTTCTATGTTTCAGTCTGACCTTGGTAACACTTTTGACATTGTCTGGGTGTGGTGCTCTTACGTTGTCCTGCTTGGACTGTGTTGAACCTGGATATGAGATCTCTTGTTGAGTTTCTGGAATTTCCGGATGGTTTTCTGGTGGGATGGTTTTCTGGTTTCTCTCTCCTCCCATCTGTACGCCCATCACGTCAGCCTGGTTGAGTATTGGCTGCTTTTCTGACACTTAATTTCTCCTCATTCTTTTCCCCACTTCTTCAGATATTGTGATTTTGTTCCTCTGTGTTCCAGTGTGAACAGGGCTCTTCGGTTCCTCTCTGAAGCATCTCTGATTAGAGATGATGATTTGAGGGCCAAAAGAACTGGTCATGGTTCAAATGCACAGGAGTGCACTGTCCCTAAAGAAATCTAGCAGATATGTTCCAGGAAATGCCTCTGCATTCGCCACACACCATGGGGACAATTTACAGAGTTCCATTAAACAGAGTTTAAACCGTTGTCTCTTCACCTCTATTTTTGTCAGTCATGGCTATTTAATTTGGGAAAGAGTCTTCGCAAGCCCTCATGCCACCATCCCCAAATGTCTGTCCTGAATTTGAAATGGATTATCCTTTGGTGTCACAATATTACTGTTGTTTTAACTTTAGTTTCCCTGTCAAACATAAATACAAAATGATACGGATGCATTCATGTTCCTCATATGGGAGTTTTGAGCTTTCTCGTAACTAAGAAAGAAGTTAATTTGTAAAATCACCAGTTCATTCCTGATTGTCATGCTATTTTGACCTGGTACATATTTCTTCAGCATTATGAATATATGAATATGCATACATACATGCACATACGTGTACACACAGATGTTTATTGAAAGCAGAGATGCTGGGCAATGGGACAGTCATCTGTAAGGCTAGAAGATAGGGCCTTTTAACAAGTAAGAACTTTTGTCGAATTTAAAATATTTTCTTCTGCTGCTTTAAGCTTGCAAAATTTCGATGCTCAGCCTATCTCGTTTCTAAGTTTTCAGCACATGTTCTGACCATGACATTAACGTGTGGTGGGTTGTCTCTCGTTGTCTGTCTGTCGTCTCCGCTCTCTCCTACCTGCAGAAAAGAGGAAAGCCAGCCTGCTGGACCAGCTCACCAACACCAGCGGGACTGTGATTGGCGTGACTTCCTGCATTGTGATCATCCTTATTATCATTTCTGTCATTGTACAGATCAAACAGCCCCGTAAAAAATACGTCCCAAGGAAGTCAGACTTTGAGCAGACTGCTTTCCAGGAGGTGTTTGAGCCTCCGCACTATGAGCTGTGCACCCTCAGAGGGACAGGGACGGCTGCCGACTTTGCAGACGTGGCAGATGACTTTGAGAACTACCATAAACTGCGGAGGTCATCTTCCAAATGCATTCACGACCATCACTGTGGATCCCAGCTGTCCAGCACGAAAGGCAGCCGCAGCAACCTCAGCACAAGAGAGGCTTCCATCCTGACAGACATGCCCGCCCAGCCGGTCAAGCCCCTCGGTCCTCCCGTGAGCAGAAGGAACATCCTCGTCATGAAACACAACTACTCCCAAGATGCCGACGCCTGTGACATCGACGAGATTGAGGAGGTGCCCACCACGAGCCACAGGCTGTCCAGACACGACAAAGCCGTCCAGCGGTCAGTATCTATTGATTTTTTGATGATGCTATAATCCGAGGACTCTACCTGTCAGAGTGTGCTGTGCCAGTTTGTCTCCAGATTTCAGTCCCCCCCTCCCCCCCGAGTGAAGGCTTCAGCCAGGGTCTCAGCATCTCCCCCTCTTCCTTCTCAGGGCTGCCCACACTCTGTTGAAACCCCCACATGCAAAATATCTCGCACAGACCAAAGATAGAGCATTTCTATACATATATTTATTTTTCCAAAAATTCTGACATTAAATTAATAACAGCTTTATATCTCTGATTCATTTCCACATGGCCATGAATGTTACCCCCTGACAACATTTATATATTTTAAGATAAAATGATATTTGAAAACAATTGCCTTACCAAGATGGCTAACTCATCTTGTTGAATAATTTTAATGCACAAATAATATATTTTGCAATATTTTTACTTTTTGTATGAAAATGGAAAAAAGTTTCCTCGCATATATCTCATTATGCTTATATTACAAATGGCTCACAATAGCATGATATGCTAGAAGACGAAACACTGATGTTTATATGCAGCGAGAGTTAGTTAAAATATTTTATCATTGTCCTTTCTATACAAATAATATATACCATATTATCTGTATTCTATTGTCAGCCCTAAGATTAGCAAAAGTTATGGAGACAGAGAACCTAAAATTAGAAAATATTATTTTAAATTCCCACATCCAGTCTTCTTAAGCCATGTTCTGCATGTTTCCTAGCATTTAGTTTGTTCTATGAATTTACGCACCATCTCCATTTGTTATACATTCTCAAAATATAAAATATTTTAGTTGGTTTAATACGTTTTTGCACGCTGATGTAAAACAAGAACTTCCATGGTTTTATGAGTTTTCGAAATGTTTTGCAGTAAATAGTTGAATGCGTATGTTTATTTTTGTGCGAATATTGCTTTGTTGAATGAAACAGCCGTAACCTTCCAGGTTCTGCCTCATTGGGTCTCTAAGCAAACATGACTCTGAGTACAACACAACTAGGGTCTAAAAAGAAAATTCAAGGTAAGCAAAAACCCTTGGTTCCTTTTCCCACTTTGTTGTATTTTGTTTTGTTTTGTTTCGTTGCTATCGTCTTGTAGTTTTTCAGGAATGTGATGTTTTTTCATTATTTCTTGAGATATGTGTTTCATGGCATTTCATAATTAGAAACATAATGGAGATCATGGAACAGTGCTGATGGAGGGATGATTCTTGGACAATTTAACTTTAAAATAAACGTTAGTATTCTTACCAGTAAACATTGTCCTAAAATGTTATTTAAAAGGATGTTGACAATTTTACATATTTTAAAGTAAAGATACTAAAAGCAATGAACTTTCTTTCAAGAAAAAAAAACCAGAAGAAACTCAAGTTTTATGAAATAAAAAAAATGTCATTTTTTTTTAAACTGGAGTGAATATATAATACTAGTAATTACTCATATAACTTGACAATATTCTATTCATAACCAAAACACTAAGTATTTGGAGGTACTCATGACATTTTTGCACTCTTAGTTTTGCATGAATGTGTAGCTCAGATCATCAAAATTAAATGCAGCATGCTATGTCAAATTTTATAAGATAAAACTTGAATCCTTGATAATGTAAATGGTTTCATTATTATAAGTTGTCTGTGTGCACATCTGTTTTGTCACCAGATATCACAGTGGCTCTATTTTTGAAACTTGCAAGAGTCTCTATCAATGTCCAGTTAAATTTGTTAAACAGCTAGTCTCCTCAGGACTCTTCCAGTTTATCCACCATTCCTGAATTAGATAAATGCATTTCCATGCTCTGTACTACCTTGATAAATTGGTGTATTTGCTTGCATTTTTCACTGGGAGAAAATGTTTTAACTGTGTTTTATTTTCAGAAAAGAACTATTTATACAAACATGGGGACTGTGAAAAGAAAATTCTATAGTGAATTGTGAAAAGTGGACCTATTTCTAAATTCATTCCACTGCCTTTATCCAAACTTAAGAATTACAGACATTTGTTATTTCTTCGGCAAGACATCCCCGCTGCACAATGATATGTTCATTTCGTAATTTGGTTGCTGGCCACCAAGTGCTCCTTAGTTTTTAAATACATTTTGAGATTTACTGGAAACTTGAAGAAGAAATTAGATCCTGATTAAGACGATCCCAACTTTATTTTTATTGTCAGTTTCACTTTTGTTTCTGTGTTGGTTCTGTCTTTGTTATGTAATTGTACATTGTGTGATGTGTGGAAAACACAACCTTGGACGAACCTTCGGTTACATGTAATTGTTTTCATTATATAGACTTCTTGAGAATAGTGCGTTCCTGAGTGGTTTTGAACATGCTACAGAGGAAAGTGAAAATGTGGACCATGGAAACACCAGCTAGAGGTTTTATGGACTACACACCTATTGTTTTATTATGATTAAATGCAGTAAAAAGTCATGAGTCCAATTACTAGATTGCAATAAGAAAAATTTCATTTTTTTCTCTCTCCTACATTCCCTTGATTTCTTTTTGTTCTATATCAAAGGGAGGTACCAAGTTTCAAAAACAGCTTTTGAAACCAGGTACTTCACTGTTCATATCCTACCACAGAGATGTTTTTGACTAAGTACTTAGCAATAGGACTGGATTGACAGTCTGAGAAACTACCCTGCATGTCAGTACTGGATATTTGAGTTGGGAAAAATACCCTCTTTATTAGACACATTGTAAAAAGCATGCATTCTCAAATATTGCTGTTACTCTTCCATTTCTTTGTGTCACATGCTTGCTACTTGTAACGTTTTTATATAAAGATATATAAAGTGTATAATAATTTCCTAACTTGAGTTAAGAGAAATGTTTTCTTCTGTTAGATGGATTCAAACTCACTTACAGGAGAACAGGTTTTATTTATATCAGTTCTTCCCACCTTTCAGAGCATAAGACATCCTTTAGTATTTAGGTTTACTTCCCCAAATATTTGATTTTTAGAATTTTATGGAGTATGTTCTCCTTTTAGGATAGGAAAATCATTTTAAGCACTTTAAAAGCATAGGCCTTTATGACCTTGAACTGCATCATTGAATCATTCTTGTCCTCAGCACACAAAACACTTGAAAGCTAGTGATGATGATGTGTTATATACAAAGGAAGTCAAACCCTGTAATGGTAACTGCTGCTGAATTGTATACACACTCTGTATTTGATTTATTCAGTGGGAAAATTTAAAAATATTAAATGCATATTCTCTGAAAATGAATTTTAAGAACCAGTATTACTATAAATCTGCTTACAAAATTTTCCAAACTATTTGATTCTATAGCTGAAAAGATTCTGACCTTCAAATAGCAAAGCAATCTGGTCTACACAATTCAGACCTGGCAACACAGGCAGTCTTCACAAACTACCCAGATAAATCATGTCATATGTCCCATTAGGAAGTCCATTTGGTTTATGTTTAAAAAAAAAAAAAACAAGTAAATGAAAAATATAGTAATTTTATAATAGAAGAATCAAAGAATTACAGCAGTTCTGAATACTTCATATTTATTGAAAAAACTAACAAAAATAATCACTTCCATGAATTTGTTAAACTGGTGAATAGAAAATGTATTGAACATTATAAAGATCATTTTTACTATTATTTTACCTATTTTGATACACGTTACTTGTGATAAAAATTTTCCATTTTTTCAAACTTTGCTTGGCTGATTTATTTATTACCATACTTACTTTTATGTCCCTTATTTGAAAGTTGATGCACCAAAGATTATTTTTAAATAAATAGCCATATTTTATATAGTTTTCACTCTTCAGGAATCTTCTTAGGCCCTCATCTGCTTTAAATGACTAATGTTAACCACCATGTCTCATCTCTTTATTTACAACAGCAATGAAGACAGGAAAATAAAGTAGGTGAAGTTTACTATACTACAGGATGAGTCCTGTAGCTCTTCACAGGATGTCCATTCCCTCCATATCTTTTTAAATGTGCAGAATGGTACTGATCTGCTTATTCTCTGCTTAAAAGATATTTGTAACAGGAATCCACTAATAGGTACTTCAATTTTTTTATTGTCAAACCAAACTAAGTATAATGATAGATGAATAACTTGCATATATTTAAAACACAGTAGCTTCACAGGAAAAGAAAAATATTTCAAGTGAAGAACTGGCCTCCTGTGTGATGATGGTAAAGTTATTTAACAACACATAAGCACCAATTCATCAGAAAAGAAGATGTGGTAATGCTGGGGCAGGGACCTGGGGGCACTCCTCTGTCCCTGGCACCAACTTGAGGCTCTGAACCTGGGGGTGCAGGGCTCCAGCAAGGCTTGGACATGTTCCTTGGAGACCCCTGCATGTCTCAAATTCAGTATTGAAATTTCTTTTTATATCAAAAACTCCTGTTTTGTGGTTTCATCAGACCCCATCAATTTTAGCTTATATTACAAAATGGGGACACCTGTAGGTAAGGGAGAATATGTTTCAAAATTTTTAAATCAAATTATTTTAATGAACAATTATATTTTTTCATAAAATGAATTCAAATATGCTAACCTGAGTGGTTTTTTTTTAATTTTTTTAATCTTATTTTAAAAAATTTCATTCTTCTTAGTTATACATGACAGGAGAATCCATTTTGATAAAATTATACAAACATGAAATATATCTTATTCTAATTAGGACCCCATTCTTGTGGGTGGGAATGATGGTAGGATTCACTTAGGTGTTTTCATATGTGTATGTAGGAACATTATGTTAGATTAATTGTACTATCCTTCCTATTCCTGTCCCCACTTCCGTCCTTTCATTCCCCTCTGTCTAATCTACTGAATTTCTCTTCTTCCCCTCCCGCTCTTTATTGCAATTTGGCTTCCACATGTCAGCAAAAGCATTTGACCTTTGGATTTGGGGGATTGGTTTATTTCACTTAGCATGACAGTTTCCAGATACATCAATTTACTGGCAAATGTCATAAAATCATCCTACTTTATGTCCGAGTAATCCATTCTTCTGTTGATGGGTGTTTCGGTTGGTTGGTTCCATAGCTTAGCTCATATGAATTATGCTGCTATGAACATGAATGTGGCCATGTCACTATGGTATGCTGATTTTAAATCTTTGGAGATATGCTGAAGAGTGAGATTACTGGGTCAAATGACAGTTCCAGTCCTAGTTTTTTGAGGAATCTTCTTACTGCTTTCCAGAGGTGTTGCGCTAATTTGCAGTCCCACTGACTCTGTATGAGCACTCCCTTTTCCCCACACTCTGGCCAACGTTTGTTGTTACTTGTATTCTGATCATTGTCATTCTGACTGGGGTGAAATGGAATCTCAGTATAATTTTCATTTGCATTTCTCTAATTGCTAGAGATGTTGAACTTTTTTTCACGTATTTGTTGATCATTCTTATTTTTGTGTTTTATTAACAAAATGTTTTCAAATAATGGGTGAAGTTAGCCCAACGTTGGTGTAATAAAGCTCTGTGTTTTTCTATGTTTGGATTCACTGTGCAAAATCTTGGTGGTGGGTCACACTCACAGGCAACACCAGTGAAGCCCTGAGTAAGGCTCTGTACCTCTGCTCACATGCCTTTTTGTTCTCTTCTTCAAGGTTGGTGTGGAAATATCCCTTTTTAATCCATTTTTACATACCTGCCAGTTGATACATTAGACAGCAAAATTCACATATGAGGTAGTTGATTTGCCATAATTAATTTTGATTTGATTACATAATTAAAATGGGCTATAAACACAATTGAAGATCCATGTTTTAAAGTTAGGCCTTTGACTTTCCTTGAATATTCACGTAAGTGACTGCATTAGCTTTTTCTATATTTTCCCCTTAGGACATCAGGGTTTCCTTACATTGTATAACTTTTTAATAAAATCAGTGAATGGGTTTTCCTTGGCCTCAGAATATAATAAAAATTTATGAAATATGATCCTGGTTCCCATTCCCTTTATTAATGGAAATAGTGCACAGATGTTTTGGTAGTGGAATAAATGATGGCAGCTTATGACGAAGCTGTGCATCGCACGATACAAATGCACATCAGCCTCCAGCTCTGGAGGAAAGCTAACGAAGTAGACTGAGTTCTCTGCATCCTAAATGGACACGACTGAAAAGTGAGTTTCAGGCTGCCCAGTTTGAAGGTCACTTTCTGCCTACATTTTCCTTTATTGGCTCATTTCTGTGCCTCACAGGATGGCACAAAGGACCTGGCCAGGAAATTTTTTAGTAGATGAAGGAATAAGGAGAACCTGATTTATATAGTTAATCTAATCTCTTATTTCTGTAGTTAATATTTCCCACATCCCTTTAAATGACTGAATAAACTATCAAATAAAGATATATTTTTAAATATCCATGGATCTTTTAAATCAATAATCCAGTTCAATAAATCCAAGGCCCTTAATTAATTTAAAATTCCCATGTTGGTTTTTTAAAATATTTTTTTAGTTGTTGATGGACCTTTATTTTATGCATTTATTTATTTGCGGTGCTGAGAATTGAACCCAGTGCCTCACACATGTGAGGCAAGCGCTCTACCACTGAGCCACAATCCAGCCCCCCATGATGTTCTTATTAATGAATGTTTGTATCATGCTACCCATTTTTTTAAAGTTGATCATATCATTCAAGTAATTGGAACAGTGTTGCAAAAGTAGCAGGTAGAGGTGACTGCTGACACATGCTCCTAACAACTCCTGAGTCTCCTTGCTGCTCAAGTGCTATACGGTCCTTGGAAGTTCTCAAGGAGGTAAATGCTGTTACCTGGCCTATCAATTCTTGAGGGTGGGAAAAGTGAACTCGACCTGTTTCAGACTTTTTCCCTCTGCTTGAGTGTTTTCCAGAAGGTTCTACTCCCTAATTCGCTCCTTCCAGAGGTCTTGTTCCCTGATTCACTCCTTCCGGAAAGTCCTGTTCCTTAATGACTCCTTCCATCCAAAGTGATTGTGCATCCAACCTGATCCTTTTCATCCTTACTTTCTCTCCAACCACTGAACATGCTACTTTACAGTGGTTCCTTCTTTGAAATAAACATGTTGGCCCTTCTCTTAATAGTCACAGATACCAGAACATAAGTTTTTAAATTACCAGAACACAAAATATATAATTCCTTTCATATCAGGTTGCAAAATTTGTACTCTTTGTTTTCTTGCCCATGAGTTAAACTTGCCTCGGTATGGCAAGACTTTTTGAGTCTATACAATGCCCATACCAGACCTCCTCCTAGGTACTTGGGGAAAGAAAACGAAGAAGGCAATCTAGTGGGGGACACAATGACAAGGACAGGTAGAAGGAATGAGGCTTTGAGGAGCTGTAGAAGGGACCTTTTTCCATCTTGAAAAAAAAAATCCCTGTGTTCCTGTTGTATCATCTTCTGTGGAAGATAGAACACACTCAACTGCCAAGAGACTACAGTACAGACGATGTTTCACAATCAAGAAGTTAGTAGCAGAAACAGGGGAAATAACTTCTAAGCAGGATGGGAAAAGGCATGTGGTAGAAGACTGGCCTTCTATGGGGTCTTAAAGAGTGACACCATTGTCAATCGGCAGTGCAGCAAGGAATTTCCACCTAGAGAAATGAGAGCAGCTGTAGTCTTGGAGGCTCATGTGTCTGAGTTAAATGGAGCTTAGGAGGAGACGGGAGGGTGATGGCAAATATAGTGTGAAGAATAGGTAGGGGTTTACAGCATGCTTCCTGCTTGTGTTGGATGCTTAGCCAAAGGAGTTTAGCCTTTATTCAAATAGATCGTTTTGAAGTTTCTTGAGAAATGTGGCTTATGAATCCTCTGAAGACACTGTTGCCAAAATGAGCGAAGAGTGGAAGAAAGTATAGCAAATTAGACCAATGGAGAAAAGAGACATGAGAAAGACTAATGATGAATGGGCAGGGATTCGGAGCGTTTGCCTGGCTTTTCTATTTATTTCGAACCCTATTTTATTGTTTTGTGGTCTTGGTTGACTGACTGATGAACGTATCGAGGGTCACAAGCCAAACACCATTCGGAGTGTCTTACATGTCATCTTTTCCTTGGTCACTTTAGTAATTCAGTGAATAGTATCAGTAGTCATAATAATTTTTGTTAATATGTCAGTAACCTTTGTACAGATGAGGAAACTGAGGAAAGTTTCAATAAGTGAGGAAAGTTGTGCAATAAGTGATAAATTCAGCTCTGAAACCAAGCTGACTAACTGCAAGTCAGCCAACATTCTTCCCCGATGTGTGACACCTGTCCATCAATGTTCAGTCCAGTCCATTTCACTGAGAGAAGTTGATAGTTATCCATATTAATCCCAGAGTTTTGTCTTTCCTCATCTGTAAAACATGTATTATAGCACCTTCCTTCCACTTTCCACCTTAGAGGGTATGAGGATCAAATTATCATGCACTGGAAGATATTTTTTATACCCTATAATGCATTGTAAAAATAAATCATTTTTCCTAAATCATGTGTACACTTTATTTTATAATCGACCTGGAACAAACACATCCTCTGTAAAGAGCAGTGATGAATAACTTGTGGCTTCTTTTGCCTCCAGTGAAACATAGGCCTCTGGAACCCACCGATTCTCAATTCACCTGAGTGCCACTTGCTGCAATGTTGTTTTTTTTCTTTTAATTGCATCCTGTTATAGGGGTGCTGTTCATCTTCAGTGAACAACATTGAATGCCAAAGCTCTTAAATAACCTCCAAGCCCTAGTTATCAAGGACACAGCAAGATAGCAACACTTGAAAGGAAATCCTTTTTTCCAAAGACAGAAAATTGTCTTGCACAAATTCACATATTACATCAGTGCAAAGACAAACACAGTTGTGCAGATCAGTGCAATCTCATAAATGTAATTTTGATATAAAAATGTGGTAGGCTACCATGAAAATAGCTTGCCAGTGGTTCAAATCCAAATTGTAAGTGCAGTTCATGCTACATATGTGTTCTTTAAAGAGTCGTTTGAAGGCTCTGAGTTTCACCTCAATCTGTAAAACAGAGCAGGCTATAGCTCGTGAAGGAGTTCCCACAGGAGCCAAAGGGGGGTGCAGAAACCAACAGCTTGAGACAGTGAGCTGCAGTGAGATGGTTGCATCTGCCTTTGTGTTTGCCAGTTTGCCTCAGCATGGGAAAGTGTCTCTTCCCCGTCAGCCTCCCATACCCCTGTGAGGCAGGCAGTCCCACAAAACATCACGCTCTGCCTCTGACATCCCAGTGGGTTTAGACAATCGAGGGAAAGACCTCACCTTCATTTCTGAGAGATCTTCGAGATAGGACCAGGCAGAGGAGGTGTGAATGCTGGGTCAGGTGGGAAGGAAGCGGGCAGAGGGAGCCTGCAGGCGCGGCGAGCCCCGTCCAGCATAATGAAGAAACTGGTGCCAAGGCACTGGCACCACTGAGAGCTGGGACTCCAGAGCACAAACGCGTGAGGACACAAATCAGGACCAGCAATCTGCAAGGATCCCGCAAAAACGGGCTGCTCCCTAAGTAGCTGGCTGTCGATGTGTGTCTGGAAAACGGGAAAAGGAGTGGAACAATTAAACATTTAAGTTTCTTTTTCACAGAAGCTCTATCCTGACACCTGGCTTAGATTTATTAATGATACCACTTTGCATATGAATTGACACTTTATCTGAACTTATTTATCTTTCCATTCCTTGTCATCTGGTTTGGGGTGTGCACATCCACAATTTTGGTGGATGAAAGATGATTCCATAGCAAAGACAAACTCTGAATAAGTTTAGTCTTCAGAATCTAGTTCAAAATCTGCAAAGATAAAGTGGTAATAAGGAGATGGAAGCATTTACTACCCTGATCTGGTCAGTACACATTGTCTATGTGCATTACTTTCTACAATTACTACCTGTTAATCAAACATTTTAAAACTGTGATAAGAAGAGGCAAACTACACCGATTTGATCATAATACTGTAGCCCATATAATTAAACTTCCAACTAAAATAATAAATCCTTTTTAAAAATTAAAAATTGCTGTCTAAGCAAAATTGGTAGCTAAAATGCAAAAATTGGCAAGATTTAAAGCATAATAAATTTAGAGATTAACATTTTCACTGAATTACTTGAAGTGCATATCAATTCAATATATTCAGAATCCATTGGGAATTCTGTCTTTTTATTTTCCTCATATAAGCTAAATTTATGAATGTCTCTAAAATAGAATATTTCTAAGTTGATCGTTATCACTAAGATATATCCTTTGACAACATGATTCATATATTGTATTTGCCTAATTTCCTGAAAGGATAATCATTATTCATTACAAAAAGTCTAACACTTATTGATGATATTAATAGGACTTTAGAGAGAATTCATGTTCTGGGGAGAAAATGATTCCTCTTTTGACTCCTTTTCTGTAGCAAAACATTTTCTCCCACCTGTCTTGAGAATTTTACAAAATATGCAGATATTTCCTACATATCAGATCAGTGCTTATTCTTTAGTCTCTTGAATATAGGCGTGATCTTTTAAAGGATTG